CTTTATGTGTTGGTAAAATCCTCCTCCAGCTAAATAAACTCTTTAAAAAGCCTCTTGGATCAGCTGGAAAATGCATCGTCACAAAGCTGAAAACAGGCTGTTTGTTCTTTTTAGAGATACGTGGTTCTCACAGGACAGAGACGCTACAAACATATGATGTTCTTATAGAATATGATGCATTGATGTAGATTAAACTAATAACAGGATATAAAGGAGTTAACATGCAACATGCACATTAATGCAGCAGTAATATTAATCCAGAAACAACAGATATGACAGTAAAACACTGAAAGAGAACATTTTACTGCAATATACTTTTCATACTTGGAGGTTTTGAATGCAGGACTTTTACTTGTAGTGGAGTATTTTCACAGTGTGGTATTGGAGGTACATTTATAGTACCTTCCTGCATGTACTGTCAACCTGTTGCACTTCTGCTTTTTACATGTTTTTGTTTCATATTTTGAACAACAAGCGGGCATAACCGGTTCAGAGACCGCCTCTGGGGTGAAGGTGAGCTCCGTAGGCGAACAAGTCCTGAGCAGCCACCTCACAACCGTCTTCCTCCCGATCGTCTACATCATCGTGTTCGTGGTGGGGCTGCCCACCAACGCCATCGCCATCTGGGTGTTCGTCTTCAGGACCAAGAAGAAGCACCCGTCCTCCATCTACATGGCCAACCTGGCCCTGGCCGACCTGCTCTTCGTCATCTGGGTCCCCCTGAAGATTGCGTATCACTTCAACGGCAACAACTGGACCTACGGGCACGGACTGTGCAAAGTGCTGGTGGTGTTTTTCTACGGCAACATGTATTGCTCCATCACCTTCATCGCCTGCATAAGCGTCCAGCGCTACAGGGCCGTGGTCAATCCGCTCTCGCGGCCCCGGAGGGCCAACGCCGTGGCCGTCGGCGTCTCCATCACCGTGTGGGCGGTGGTCTGGCTTCTCACCGTCCCCCTCTACCTGTACGACCAAGAGGTCCGCGTGACGAACCTGAACATCAGCACCTGCCACGACGTCACCAAGCCCAGTCAGAAGGAAATGGCGGCGGGCTACTTCCTGACGATGGGGACTCTGGGGTTCATCGCTCCCACCTTCGTGTGCATCATCTCCTACGTGCTCATGCTCAAGGCTCTCCGCAACAACATGGCGGACCCCGCCATCGCCAAGAAGCGGCGAAAGGCCATGGTCTTCATTGTCACCGTGCTGGTGATGTTTCTGGTGTGCTTCACCCCGAGCAACATCATGCTGCTGGTGCACTACACCCTCCTGTTGGGCGAGGCGCACAACAACCTGTACGGCTTCTACATCTCCACGCTGTGCCTGGCAAGTCTCAACAGCTGCCTGGACCCGTTCATCTACTACTTCATCTCGGAGGACTTCAGGAATCACGTGAAGAACACGTTCCTCTGCAGGAGCGAGAAGACAGTGGAGAGGATGAGGGTCTTCAGAGCCCTCAAGTACTCCAAGAAGAACAAAACATACACGTCTGATTCGGGGAACACGCGGAGCACCGAAAGCTGACTCGTCATCTTTAAAAATTCCTCGGTTATGGATTTCTTTACTGTGACTTTGTCTGTTTCTGTGAGGAAACTGACATGTCATCTGTTTTAAAGGCCTCCTAGAAGCTTGGAGCAGGCTAAGTTACTGTTATTTTATTTTGTAAATGGGATTTTATTTTTTGTATCTTTTGATAATACAACTGATGTTTAACGCTTGTTGCGGTCGTCTGCAGTTTTATTTGATTTCTATGGGACATCATATATTTTTATATGAACTTTTAGCTGTCATTTCTATTGTTTTGACGTGCTAAAAGGTTTTAGCATGTTGTGTGATACATGATGCAAGCTTGACATGTTTTATACCTTGTGGATGCATTGTTTTTTTTTTTGTTTTTTTTAAGTAATCACTTGAAAGTCAATAAATGTAAATGTACAACCTGCAGGCCTGGAAAAGTCTCAGAATGTCTTAGAAGGTGTAAAGAAGTCTTACATTTGATTTACAAATGTCATATATGTTTCTCTTGAGTGCTGAAGGGAGTTATGTTAGTTCATCAATGTTTTATTTGTTTTTATCTGATTGCAGGCTGTCAGGAGATGATTTGCATCTATAAACTAAAAGGTGTTTTTTGCTGCAAGAGGCTGTTCAATACGTGTTCGTACCGTCAGACCTGCAGCAAACACTGTCACTGCTGCAGTAGCTACAACTTATTTGGCACTATTGTGTTTTTGTTTTTTGTTTTTTTTAATCCAAAGATGTTTAGTTTACAACATAATGAGAACCTGACACCAGAGAATATTTGTCTTTTTTTCACCATTTTTGCTTAAAAACACAAACGCAACTTATTTTTTCTGTCTCTCATCTCATTGATTTATGGTTGCAACTACTTTAAAAAATACTTTCATTATCAAGTAAGCTGCTGACAATGTTCTCAATGGGTTGTTTGGTCAATAACCCAGCATCATCACATGACTTCTAACATGTCACACAAACAGCCAGCAAACGATCCCCCTTCCTCCTTTTCCTCTTCATCACAACCTCAGCACACTGATGCACATGACAGCTCCCCCTACAGGTCCTTCTTGGTAGTAAATACCAAATCAACTAGTTCATCCTGTACTATTGCATCCCATTCACCTCTCATGAACTGGCCAGAGAAACACATTCCTGTAACCATCATCACTTCTCATCACAGACGCGCTGCAGCACGCTCTCTGTCAAACCCCTCTGGTGCTAACCACAACAATTCAATTATGCAACCTCTGCCACCTCCTGCTCCTGACTGTCAGCCTGTTGGTTTTGGCCTTTTAAACATCAGATCCCTAAATAATAAGTCGTTTTTAGCTCAGGATTTTATTACTTTTAATAAATTAGACTTTTTTTTTTATCATGACAGAGACATGGATGTCTCAGGGAGACTAGTTCTCTAATTGAAGCACCCCCGCACCCCCGCACCCCCCCAGATTTTACACATCTCCACCAACTCCTTGCTGTCACCTACAAAAAAGTTTGTAATTGTACTCCCATTTTACGAGTCTGTTTTACTTCATTTGAACATGTTGGTTTTATAGTGAACTGTAAGAATCAGTGATCATTTTAATAATCTACAGACCTCCAAGGCCTAACAGTGTTTTTGGCCAAGAATATGGTGAGCTACTATCCCATTTTACATCAAAGTATGATAAAATTCTTATTTTAGGTGATTTTAACATACATGCTGCCCTTTACAGACTTTTGTCACTGATTTTATGGATACTCTGGATTATTTTTACCTCACTCAGGCTATACAGGAGCTCACTCACTCAAAGGGTCACACCCTCGACCTGGTTATTTACGGTCTCAGCCCTGATAGCTTTGACACAAAGGATATCTGTGTGTCTGATCACAAAGCCGTTTTAGTCAATGTGGCTTTATTCCATCCTCAACCATTAATTCACACTTCACCTGTCCTCCGCCGGGTTTTTAACTCTGTCTGCGAGCAATTCTCTGCACAGAACATAGAAAATGACTGTCTTGGACATGGTCATTTGTGGCTCTTGGGCAATCACCTGTATGTGTATGTCAATTATCTGCATTGTTTGAAGAAAGCACAACTGGGATCAAGGACTTGTCCAAGAAGTTGTCTGAGAAGTAGCCATCATCTCTGTTTGTCAAATAGCTCCATCCAAAACTGGACACACTCACTTCTCAAGATCAACCACCATCGCTCAATCCGCTGGTTTCCAGTGCTTGGACCAAAGGTCACGCTGTCTGTCTCAGCTTGGTTCCCAGAGAAAATGCAAAAGCCGCTGTATTTCAGCCATGTGTCCATTTTATGTTCTTAAATCAAGTCTGAGTCTGGCAGGGCATCCACCAGCATTGATCACAGCATCCATACAGTAGCCAGCAATGACCTTCGGGTCATTGTTTGTTTTGAAAGCTTCAAGCCATTTCATCTTTCTGGAAAAGCCATCAATGCATCCACTGATTGCAATTCCAAATGGCTTAAGCTTGTCGTAGCCATCAATGTGCCAGAGATAGTTTAGACCACAGCTGTGGTAAACACGCCTTCTCAGTCTGCTTCTTGACCTCAGATCAACACCTTCACCATCCAATAACTGCAGCAACAGTCAAACTGTTTCTCTGTCAGTCACAATTCCGTGTAACCAACACTTTTGGTGCATCCATCTGTCAGCATGACACTGACCAGATGTTTCCAGTTGCTGCTCAATGAAGGTCGCCACCTCAGCCACATCGGTTTTATTCTTTATACTCCAGAGCTGCTTCTTGCTTAGAATCCTTTCAAAGGTGCGTTTGCTCAGTACAATCCATGTCAAACATCAAGCTATTGAAGTATTTCATCTGTTGTAAAGCCACGTTTAAAGTAGTCTTCAATGTACTCACAATACATTTCTGTCAAATGTTGGGTAATCTATGAAGAGCTGCTTCTATTTGTTTTTTTGCTGGTGGAAATTGCCTTCCATAGTTATCATATCATTGTGATGTGTTTTAAAGATGAACAGGTCTGTTTCATGCTGCTCTCTGCTGGTTGGAAGTGTGAAGTACTTTTATACACAGTAAGGCTGTAGTTTTACTGTGTTTTCTCCTCCAGCAGGAAGCGCTACGATACCGATAATGAAAGGAAACCTGAGGGACTCAGAGCTCCACCTCCTGTTTCACTGAGTTCATATCGGTCTGAGCAGAGAGTCATGTGAGAGTGTAAAGGAGCTACTGACTGAACAAATACTTTTTTAATCTTTCAATGTAAAACAACTGGCTGTCCTGTAGATTACTTCTCTTCATCCACATGATTCATTTGTCAGTTATCTTCTTGATTAACTGATTAATCGTCGTGAAAAACTGCCCATCACATGTTCCTGAGAGTCTGTCTTTAAATGTCTTCTTCTGTCCGACCAACTGTCCAAAACCAAAAAGATGTTCAATTAAAAGAAACAAGAATAATATGAAGAATATATTTTTCATGCACAGCCCATCTAACTTATGAACACGAAATATTTCATTATTTGGAGGAATAATGATTTCTGGTCTTTTCTGTATTTTGTCACCTTCAATAAATGTGAAAGTTTGTAGCAAAGAATTCCAACTTCAGCTCTTTTCTACATTTTGAGTTTTAATTAAGTCAAAACAACAACAACAACAACAACAAAAAGGTTGCTTTTGGTATTATTATTTTTACACACATTTGAATCCTTTATTTTGGAATAATATGTAACAAAGGGTGACTTGAACCAGCTTAGACAAACAGAAACATTGAAGAAAGACTCAAATATTGCACTTAATATAGTATAATAATCATATAACATGGACCACACACCTGTGTGCATATGTTCACGTACAGCAGCTTCTGTTCTGCTTTCTTCAAAAGGTCACAAGTGGTGGAAAACAGAAGTAGGTCAAACTATGGCTTTAATTATATCTTTAGGAAATGACCTTCTCATCAGTTTGATGCTGGTGTTTCAAACAATAGAATCAGACGTTGAAGTATTATTCAGGTCTTTAGCGTAAGTAAAAGAAGCAACACTACAGTGTACATCATAATGTATTTGTTGATTTTTATTGGTAAGTAACTACAGATGACGAAATAAATGAAGCTTGTAGAGTAAGAAGTAGAATGTAGCATAAAATGAAAATACTCCAGTAAAGTACACGTAGCTCAAAAGTACAGTAAATGTATTTAAATACACTCCACTACTGTCTCAAATGAAAGATTGGAGTAAATTTTTTCAAAGGACACTTAAATTAGAAATAAAATGAAAATTGGCAAAATAATAAAACAGTCGTTTAAATCAAACACCAGAAGTTGTTTACTGGTAAACAGATGTCATCTGAGAACCAATCATAGATGTTTACCGGTGAACTCACCTGACTGGAAGACAATGTCATACTGCCAAAATCAACCCTGAGGCGTGTCTCGGTTGGCTGCGCGTGACCAGGTGACCCAGGTGTCAAACTCCTCCGCTGTGTGAAGACCGGGATGGCAGTTAAAAGCAGCCACACCCGCGGACACTGCTGCTCTTTACCTGTGAACGGTCATGGCCTCGAGATCGCGATGGTTTCAGCTGTTCCTCCTGCTGGGGTTCCTGCAGACCTGCGTGTTAGAGAAAGGTAAGAAGGAAAGCTCCCGCAGGTTGTTTACACCTGTGGTGTGTTTAAGGTCTTACAACTTTAAACTCGGGATCCAAACGTGTTTTCTGAGCTGCAAGCGTCGAACATACAAAGGCCATGTTGGTTTGATGTGTCGGCCTCCAGTGATTAGTCAGAAGTAGTTTTATCTCAGTTACTGAGTTATGAAGTATTATTTATATGTGAAGTGGGTCGTTGTGATGCTCAAAGGACTGAT